AACCTCGATTACATACTTTCCCACTTCTAAGAATATAAGGACAATGGTAAAATCCCATATCTAAAGTTTTGCTAATACGTTTTTTAAGTAGTATATATTGTCTAACACTAATTCCCTAAAATAATTAATTTTTATTTTGAACTTTTCTCTAACTGCTATTATAGTTTCAAATAATAACGTAATATGACTACCCAAAATATTCAAAATTACCAGGAAACCATTGATCACGTGTCAGCAGAAGTGGGAGTACCACCTTCTCGTTCAGAGAGCCCAGAAAACTCAGAGAATTTTAAGCCAGAGATAGAGGAAGAAAATAGCAGGCTGTTGTACCACCGGGGTTTAAAGCTGAGAGTGTAGCTAAATATTCAAACAAGATCTGGGATGATAGTATGAGACCTAGAGAATTTCTTGGAACAGATTTCAAAGATGGAATAGAAGCTATACTTACAGATCATCAGGCTATTCGTTGTATGAATTTATTGATAAAGATGATTCACTTCATCCTATTATTGATTTTGATTTACCAAGAGAAAAATTTGATAAAATCGAACCCAAGCTTACACTTAAAGAGATAAAAAATACACTTTATAATGCTTTTACAAAAACTTGTTTGGATATATTTTTAGAATGGGACAAAACTACTATCACTATTGCCAGTAGTAGTGATCTAAAAAAAATGTCTTATCATATCTCAACATTTGGAATGCGTCTTAAGAATATTGCCAAAGTCACAGTATTTACTGAACTCGTTCTTAAGAAACTTCTAGTAGATTTACAAGATAAAGGAATTGTTAACAATATCGCAAATAAAAGATCATTTTTATTACGAATACTTGGGACACCAAAATTTATAGAAGAGACGAGAGAACACGTACATGTAAAGAAAGCATTAGGTTCTAAAAATAGGAAGTTTTTGATTTTATGCTTTGTTCTCCTAATGATGAAGTGCTAGTTATAGATAGCCCAATTTTAGAAATCTCAAAAGAAAAAGTGAAAAATAGTAAAGCAGATAATGGGACCATTAGAGCTGAAGTCGATTATGTAGAGAAACTACTTAATGTAATGAATATTGAAAGTTTTGATGTTTTATACCCAACTTGCATGTCTCCAAATATATTCACTTTAAGATGTATAACAGGATCACATTGTCTTTATATAATCGAGAACATAGCAATGATAATGCATATGTAGTCCGAAACAGAAAAACCTATCATTTCTATTGTCATCGTGCAGATCAAGATACGCCTAAAGGTACAAAAAAAACTTTATTAAAACTTAATATTAATGAGACTGTTGAAAATCAAGAAAAAACTCTTTCGCCTCTCAAAAGTCGAATAGGCTTGAATTTTCAGATCCAATTGATCACTTTGTGTGGGGGATCTAATTGATATGTGTACATCAAAAAGAATTTATACTCGTAATCAAGTTTACGAAGCCATCCAAGCAACTGTTGCATTTGTCGATAAAGGTAATACGATGTGAGTTTTTAAAATTGAAGATGATGAAGGTGGGATTACCTTTGAAATGGTACCCAAACTAAAACTTAGTAAATATGTAATTAAAATAGCTGAATTGGGAGGGAGACAATAAAATTATTATCACTGATAGAACGAGCAAAAATTGATAGCTTAATTACTTATCATCGTATTATATATCTCCTGTGCTCACCAAATAAATCTCTACCAGTCACTAATTTTCTTAATCTCATTCCAGGATTTAAAGCTTGACCAGGATGGAAATCATTTCTGAAATCATGGAACCGATTCTTTGGCATGTGAAGTATGTAATATGTGATAGGGATGAAAAGCTTAATGATTATATTTGGAATTGATGGTCATTCTTAGTACAATTTCCATAAGAAAAAACAAAAACAATTTTAGTGTTAAAATCTACTTTACAATGATGTAGAAAAAATATTATAATTGATTTTATTAGTGAAAAAGTTTTAGGTTCGGCGCTATACTATATAATATCTGATCTAGGTAAAGTTCTTAGAAAATTTAATAGTGTTCTTAAAGGTCGAAAACTTGTAGTTATGAATGAGACAGGAATGGCTAGTGGAGATTGGCATAAATTTAATAACTATCTTAAAGTGCATATATCAGAAAGAAAGGTAAGTATAGAACACAAAGGCGTTGATATTGACGATGTCAGGGATTATACTGCATATATAGTCACTAGTAACCATGATGCTCAGCTTAAGGTGGAAATGGGTAATGAGCATATAGTATGTTTTGACATATCTTCATGATGTAAAGATAATAGAACATATTTTAGGACTTTAGGAAAAGCTTTTAATCGTCCTGATGCACCAGGAATGGTTATGGCCTATCTTCTTAATCAAAATTTATCAAAATGGGATCCGGAAGAAATTCTATCTACTAAAATGAAAACAGAAACAATGCTAAAACATTTGCCAAACTCTACTCGATTTATAATTGATCATATTTCATCTTGGCTTGAAAATAGAACTGAGAATTTAATATGTTTGAATTTATACCAGGAATATCCTATTTGGCGTGAAACAAATGGTAAAAATTTATTTACTAATAAAAAAATTTAGAAAAACTCCTCCAACAATTGGTATAGAACGTAAGCAAGTACAAATCAATGAAAAAAAAGAATGGGTCTACATCCTTGATCATTCCAAAATCATAGCCAAGTTACATGAATTAGGTATCGATATCAAAGAATTTGCTGACTTACCTCAGACTAAAATATCTACTAACACATCCACAGAGATCTTTGTATTCGATATACCTAAAATTGTTACATCTCCCGAACTAGAAAAAAGATAACAGAACCATTAACTACTCATATCAAAAAAGGTAAGAATATATCACCTGCTCCTATCACTAACATAATCCAGGAACTCTTCAATTCAATAATAGATCAACTAGAATATTCAGTTGCTTTGTCATCCAAGTTTACCAATATTTCTCTATCTTCTAAGATTATAGATATAGAACCCTCAGGCAATAAATCTAAATCTACTGAAATCTCTCCTGACTTACCTGTAAACAATGCTGTAAACAATGAACCAAAAACCAGTAATGAAGTATCTCCCTAGCAGATAACATACCCACCCAGATATTTGACCAGGGAGCAACAAGAAGTACGTCTTTATAAAAAAGCCATCGAACTTGGTGAAGATCCTGACAAATTCGTTACTATAACTGATAAAGATAAGCTCAATTCCAAAGCATTCTGCAATAGAATGCAGACTGATGTGAAAATGTGTAGTTTTGCAAAGGAGGCTGAAGAAGACCCCAGAGAATATATGGATATGACAGTGCGAGAAAGATTAATAAGTAAAGAAATAATCCACCGTTCTCTTGAGAAGGATGAAGTCACCTCATCATGGTTGGATACTGATGAGGAATAGAAAAAAACAGTTAATATACTCCAGGAAAATAGTATGTTATGTAATTGCTTAATCGATAAGGAGCGAATAGGTGAATTTTGCAGGTAGGAAGCTTTGATATAGGGGGATTTTTTGCTTCTACAAACTAGCTGATATAAAATTTTTAGATAAAAAATATTATGCAAACTTTGTGTTATATATACTGGTTTTTGTAACACTTAAAAATAATATTTGGTAAATTTTTCATTCTCGAATTTAATTTTAAATATGAAAGCACTAATACTAATAGAATAATATAACCATTTTGTGATATCGAATCGAAATGTCTTGTAATTAGTTATTAGTCGGGGAAACCCATTTATGCAAGATCCCAGCAAAAGGACAATATTGTGCTACCTATGCATTTAAGATTCGAAAGGGTTTAATAATTCCCCGATCATGTAAAGGATGTGGGTGAAGAACTAAATCGAGTCTTCAGCTTTGTGTCCTGTGTGGTCAAGGTAGGGAAAGAGCATATAAATATTATAAACAGAAGCATATAAGAGAAACTCTGCATGCTTAATATCTGTATATACGAAGCAATTTACTAGATATGTATCCTGCCTTCTTGGTCTATAACCTCAAAGCCAGATAAATGCTATTAACATATACATCTTTTTCTGAGAGACATAGAGGAAAAAAGGAAAAATAACCAATTAAACTTATTATTTTCATAAGTAACAATTAACTATTATCTTTTTCATAACTAGTAACTCCCAATAGAAACACCCTAGAAAATAGTCAACTTATTAACCAAAAGAGAGATTGATCACAACAGACCAACATTCCACAGACTAATGTGCAATTGTTTCAAGTACGTAAAAGATCTAGCCGAATTTCTACAATTACTGGATATTATAGATTATTACTATCCTGAGCAAATTAGATTTATGAATGCTCTGTCCCATCCAGCTATAATACCACCAATTGATATAATGGAAAATAGACCCGATATTTACAAGAAATGGTTCATAAGTATAGAAAAATACCGGAATCTATTCCAAGCATTATAGCAAAGCTAGTGTCTTCAACACATAAAAAATAAATATAGTACCAAATGATATTAATATAGCCTGAGTCGCCACAACTCGAAGCTATAAATTTTTTTCATTATATCCTATATATTGGTAACTTTCAAATCGACAGATTTGACCCAAAGCATTGACGTGTATATATACCTGGCATATATAGATTAAAACTTTTGATCAAACTTGTATCTTGTTCGCAACCATTTTCAGATAGAATTACAATAACCACGACCTACAGATAATTAATTTCAATTTGAAAAAATATTTTTATAGTGTATATAACTTAAAGAACTGTTCATAACCTACTCGACCCTACTATAACATTAGATTATGTCAGCTATCGTGACTAAAATCATTGAAAAATACAATCTCAGCCCCAAGATGAGTGTGTCCGATCTCAGTAAATATACCTCAGAATTTCTTGAAAACCTTACCGATGATAAAAAGTGGAATCAAGGTCGACAACATCTTCGAGATGGTTTTAAATTTAGCAGTGATCAGGTAAGTATATTAATACCTAATCAGAGAAGTAGTAAGGTCAAGATTATAAATATTATCGAGAGTAGTTGCAAAATAGCTATAGCTTCACCTCCTAAAGATTTAGAAGAAGAGATTATCAGAGAGATAACTAAACGAATCTTACAGAATAGATATGGATTTAGCAGGAGACAAGTGGATGATTTATTCTCTACCCAGAAAAATGGAAGTATGTTCGAAGAGCCATTGCCCTGCAATAGAGATGTAAATATTGCAATTTCTAACAAATCCTCGAAAGGAATAGAGGAATAAACAATTGGGGATATGGCGCAACAGATTTTATAGGATAAACTTAGCATTAGAGATGTAAGAGCTGAAGCTTATACCTTAGCCCTATCAGCAAAAAATGCTAATGCTGGCTCATCACGTCTCACTCATCTTTGTAGAGAATTAAGGAACCTTAGTGTATCACTTGAGATAATTGAGGTTACAAAATTTCCAGATATTACAGAAGATGCCAACAAAATCCAGAGTATCAATCGAAAAAAAGCTGAAGCTAAACGTATCAATTATCTAGATGAATTTACATTAGAATTAGTCAAAGAAAGATTAAATGAGTATGATATTAAAACTTTACCTAATTGTCAGGCTCTTGCTGATATTATGGTGATGCTTTGTATTTGTCCTGCTGAACTTAAAACTTTATGCATTACAGATACTGGAGTGACAGGATATGCGAAGAATCGAGGTCAGCCAGATATTCTCAGAAAATTTAGATCGATGGAAAAGAATCAAGAACAAGCCAAAGAACTACTCACTTGGATTCAGCATGCTATATTATCTAGACGAATGGGTAATCCAGATAAGCCAGGAGTTAAATAGTTTAATAAATTCTTAAAAAATTATGATTTAATTCCTAAATATTTATGTAAATTACGAGCAGTTTACAGTGCAGTAGCACATGAGGCTAAGAATATGGCCCACACTTATACAATTGCTGGAGAATGTCTACATCATTCATCTGATAATCATACTTCTCCTGTGCAAAATTACGTTGTAGTCAATTATAGAAAAAGAGGAGTTCCTTATGAGCAAGCAAGACGATTTCATATTTATGATTAAGATTAATTGTGCTTTGTCACTTTTACCTTATCTACAGTAAAATCTTCATTATCATAAAAGGATTCAGAGCTGGACCCAGATTCAGATTTAGATGAGAACTCAGATGCAGTATCGTTAAAAATTGTTTTTTTTCTTTTAGCCTCAGATAGTGTACGATTTTTTCAAGAAATATCTGGGTTTGCTATCGAGTTTATAATATCTTGCTAAATCTTAAGTTTTACTATTTTTAGTAATTGATAGAGAGAGATCTGAATTTTTTTATTTGACACTTGTTTAATAATGCGAGATATCGCACTATTACCATTTTGAGATTTATGATTATTTTCTAATATAGCTTTATTCATTGTCAATATCGTATCGTAATATGTACTTTGGTACTAGCTTTGCTATTATTTATTATATTAATACATAATTAAATTCAGAATAAATATTATTTTTTGGTTATAATATACATCATTAAACATATTTAACATGTTCATCAATACACTCGTAGAAGGAAAAATCCCAGTAAAAGCGTTAATTGATACAACATCTAAATATAATACTATTAGTAAACACTTATTTGATAAGCTTGAATCTGATCACAGATTAGAAGGTATAGTTGGTGATGATCTGATAGGCGAAGAAATAAAAGGCTTAGATTTACAGTTTTGCATTAAAAAAAAGTGGCAAAGTTTAGATGATACTGAACTAATAGACTTTCAAATTCACAAAAATCCATTATTCGATCTGGTGTTGAGGCAAGATTGGTTATAAATACGTGAAGCAAAAATAAGCTTTGGACATTCTCCCAAAACCTGTGTCCACCATTCTAAAATTGTAATAGATGGTATGAGCATCCCGTTATTCGATGAAGATTTTAACAAAACTAGCTCCACTAAAAATAATTTATCTAAATTAACAGAATCTAAACCTGGTCTAGCTCAAGAGGAGGTTATGAATATAATTAACAAAATTCTCTTAAATATTGAAGATAGACCCAAAGAGTCATTGCTTTGCAACATACCTTCTACACATCTACCATTCAGAAGATTAAATGACAATGTTTCCAAAAATAAGAGTAAGAAAAATAATATCAAATATTCCACAGATGCTTCTTCTAATTCAGACACTTCAAACAGTAATTCAAGTAATTCTTCCACATCTAGTTCAAAAATAGAAGTTACACATGTGCATAAGACTAAAGCAGTAAAGAAACACTCTATTCGAAAGCGTAAAGTAAAAGGTAAAGTTAATTATTGAGCTTGATGATCTTATATATAGCCACAAAGTAAAGTAAATCACATCATATTATAATGGACCTCAAGGGAGCGATGTCATGTGTTTTAAATCCATGAATCAGAGATTAGCATAGAAGTATTTCGATACTAACCAACTCACTAACCGCACCTATTGCAGAGCAATGACCCTTTGGGTCTACTCTTAAGCTAAATTTTTTATCCACGATTGCCAGCAAAGATCAAGCAATTCCCTCATACTAATTAATTCTGAATAAATAGATTGCCAAATCCAAAATGAGATTTTATAAAATCTGCAAATTAGGTTTGTTAGTCGTGAAAAATAAACTATAAAAATAAGCAAAGTATAAGAGATTTCATTATGTAAAACTTATCTGGTTATAATTGAAATATGTCTA